TGTCTGGTGTAGTAAAAGCTTAAAAAAATTGGGTTTAAGTGCTGTCTACAGCAAGAGGAGAAAACAGTGAAGGGAAATCATCTACAGCATGAAACAACGGTCAATATACCTTTAATTGATTGAAAGATCAATAAGGTACCTTCAAAAAAATACCTAAAATCTTTTCTAGCATGGTTTGTATAGAATGAGCTAAGTTCATTTCCAATTATTCTCAAAATTCAAATCTTGATTGATATGGATAAAACCAGTCATCATGCACTGCATAATCCGTGACTTGGTCAAGTATCCAGTGAAGCCCTCACCGAGTGCCCATAAAAACAATAGTGGTTAGATAAGACACAAAAATCCCATTCATTGAAGGAACCCATGAATTTCTAGACCAAATATCCATAAATGGTGGTAAGATACTAGAAACTCCAAAACAAAATCATGGAATTGTTATCTCTAGCAGTAAGATGAACAGTAGGTGCTATAGGATTACAATGAGCCACGTCTTTTACATAGCCAACTAAAAATCCACTTGAAGTCAAATGACGTAGGATTTAAACTAGGTATCAAACACAAACCAAACTGCTTGAGTCTATACGCCAAAACCATATATGCAAACCTAGCAGTAGGGAATCAAATTAATCAAAAGCAAAATCCTTTCTTATAGAAAGTCATCATAGGCATGCCCAAGATACTTGTAATTAAAAAAAATATAAAATAAAATAAAAACCCTAAGTAATTTTTTTCCTTTAAATTAGTTATTTTATTTTCATTTTTATTGAGTCTCAAGATGTAAATCTCCATCATATTTGTTTGGATTGGATAAATTTAGCTATATCATAAACTGAACATTTCATACTCATCAAGTAAGTCATGTTGTATATTTTGTGTTTTTTGCAAAGTAATGTATTAGTGAACACATTGATTTGTCATATTAATACACTAGATATCGTTAGAATTCTTCATCAGGATGGACACATTTTTACTATTCAAAAAAGCTTCAAGCAAAAAACTAGACCTATCTGACTAAGTTTTGGATAGAATTCACTAGCATTCGATGGAAGAAGTGGGAACTGTGGTTCATGAAGTAAGGTCAATTAGATACATTGAAGATTAAATTAGTTCCAAAATTTCTTGGAATTCCTAATTTTCAGGCGTTACTTTCAATGGGCTATTAAATTTTAACTGACTTTCTTTTCGAGCTTTTGATTTTTAAAGGTTATTAAGGAAGCGTTTCTAAATTTAAAAGCATCTTTACTTTGTACCTGGACATAAATTTCATTTATCACATGTTGTTGTCAACATAAAGCTTATAATTACCGTAATTAGCAGCTAATTTTTTGATAATATCTCATGCAAATCATGTATATGTTGTGCAAATTATTATAACAACGAACTAGGCTTAAATCCAATAAGAAATTCAATATGATCTATATATTTTTAAACTTGTTGTCATATGAACTCTTTGCAATCTTAGCCATTGGCAATATAAAATATCAACTAGATGCATGTTTTTGATTAAACAACATGACATATTACTCGAACTTATGTTCACTACTTTAATCATCCATTAATTTGTGGATGATATGCCATTGAAATTTTAAGTTGTTCTCATATTTTTTTTCCAAATGTTTTTTTTTAATTAACTCATGAATTTTATTTCTACCAAACTTAATTATTTTAGGCAAGGTAACCCATACAATTTTACCACTTCATTAAAATATTATTTAGTAATGTTCCATTTAGATAGACGATCTACCACTACAAAAATAAAATCATGATTTTGTAAAGTTCATGATAAACTTAGGACAATCCATACATCCTCCCATGTCTTTATATGAAATAGACCAAGGTGTTTAAAGCATGGTGTTATGTTTTTTTCTCTTTTATAGTTTTGCAAATCCTACATCATGAAACAATACAAGCCACATATTTTTTTAAAATTAGATCTTAACATCTAACTCTGACCATTGTTATGATTTTATCTCTCCCAAAATGTTCAAAAACACCCCAACATGTAATTCTAAATCGAGATATGAATATAAACACAGATACCCTTAAAAAATAATGATTAAATCGTAGTCTTTGTTGAGCATAGAATTTTGTCTTGCTGGTCAGAGTGAAGTGCAAACTCTTTTGCAAACTAGTAATACCTTCAATAAGGAAGAGCCTGCACAATAATAATACAATTTTCAATTATAGTTTGAATATTCATTTTTAGTTTTATTTAATTTCTTAGTAAATAAAGCAATGGTGTGATCCTCATGGTTTGTCACTCCTCACAAGAAGCCTCAGATGTTTTATTGAAGTCACATTACATAAGCACGTGTATTTTGTTGGTCTCTTCTGGATCTTAACAAAGGCAAAATTAACTTATTTAGTCTATTTAAATTCCTTTTTTTAAAATGAACCACCTATAAAAATAGCCAAATCACAAATTCTTTGAATAATATGAATATTAGTATATGTTGATCAATCATTAATTACTTAAATTTTTATCAGAATCAATATATGATGGCACAAAACAATAAATGATATCACAAAACAACATTTCATCATATTTAGCTATAGTTTCTCAGCTTGCAACTCTTCAAAGACTTTCCCAATATGCACCCAATGTTATCAAAGGCAATTGGGGAGCTCTTCTAGGTGCCCCTGCAAGGTGATGTGAGGTTCTAGTGCGTCAAATATCTTCCAAGTCGCACCACCATTAATTCACCACCTAGGCAAGCTCTTTGGTTAAAGGCATTATCTTCTAGGCACTCGCCAATTGCCTCAATGATGCATATTTTTTTTAATTATTTTATATAGCTTACACAATCATGTTATAAGATAGAGATGGAAAGGGAGTATAGGTGATGAAGAAGATAAAATAGATATTAAAAAAGATTAGATTAATCTTATGCAATAAAAGTTACCAAATTAGGTTATATTTTGTTGTTTGAACTTGAAATTTAACTTTTGGCTATTTTGTGTACTTTGTTTTAGATAATCTATTTGGCAATGTTGTCATTTTAGTATTTTGGATGAATAAATTTTAAAATGTATATTTTTTTTTGCCTTCTAAATTTAATATTTTATTATAAATATTATACTCTTCAAAATTTTCCTCAGAATTAAAATTTGTGAAATTTTTTGTTGCCTTTGTTCAGATTGGTACTTAGTACCTTGGGCATTGGGTAACCATACTTCCTTAAGAGTGCATGATGCCTTTAGTATGATTGGATGTATCAAATGTTCATATCGTTTTCCTATAAAGCAGAATATGATCGAAGTAAATGATAAAAAATTTCTTAATAAGTTGCTACAAGACATGATTCATTATTTTTATGTAAATTCTAGTGCATTGGTTAAATCACAGACATCATCAACCATTCAAGTCATACATATTTTATCTTTAAGGAAAATTTGTATCAACATTTTTCACGATTGTAAGCACATATCTTCATCAACAGTCATTTAATTTGGAAAAAGCTCATTTTCTACAATTATTTTTCTATATTACTACTGCCTTCAAATACAAGATTATGGTTATTGATGCTGATCTATAGTCTTAAAACAACTTGATGATTTAATTTAATCAATTTTTCTGAAGATTCAATTGTTGCTCAAATTTTTTGATGAATAGATAGATGGTTTGTAATACCCCTTGAAGTAATATTTTTTTTAACTCAGTCCCATTGAAATTAATGATTTTTTTTTTAAATACTGCTACTACATGGAATTAATGAATCAGTTATCTTATTATTTAGACTTTTTATTTGGGTTCTATTTTTATATGCTGAATCTTGAAGTTTTATCAAATTTGACATCAAGCTTATTTTATTGTGGAAGTTTAAAATGTTTCCTTTCACATAAACTGGGATGGGTTAGTGGTTGTGCAAGCTGTGTCATTTATGATGTAGATGGGGGTGCTTGCATGTGTGTTGCTTTCTTGCTATTTCTTTTCATTGTGTTGATTAAAAATGAATTATTTTGGTTTGCCAAGTGAATACAAAATGCATGAAAAATAAGGCAACAAAAAATTTGTTTGGAAAATTGTGTCAAACCTCTTAGAAGGGAAATCTTTTCTCAACAAAAAGGGCACAAAACCACAGTTTTAGGCTACCTAAATTTGATATTACACTATATATGGTATTTTCCAAAGAAATAACTGCCAAAGTTTAGGTTTCGTTTGGGATTGTATTTGGCCGCTGTTTTTTTTTTATGTTTTCAAGAAATTTTTGTACTAGAAAGTTACTTTAGAAAGTTGTAATAAAGTTATCCCAAACGAACTTAGTCTTCGTTTGCGACGGCTTTCTTACTGCTTCTTAAATTAGTTTTTTAATTTTTGTACTAAAAAGCTGCTTTAAGAAACAGTAAGAAAGCCCTCCCAAACGAAGCCTTAATCTGATTCGTACCTTTTGCATTTCCATGATAGTATTATTTTTGAATATTCTGAACTCAGAAAGGTATTCCGTACGTATGCCTAATCCCTTTAGATGGTTTGTTGAATCATTAAGTGTTACATGTGCGTTTGATGATTAAAGTGGCATTTTTGTTTGAAGAGAATAGGAAATGGTGTTGTGCAGGAGCAAAAGAAATAGTGACATTAAAGAGGTCGGACCTATTCAATAGTGTAGGTTCCAGATAAGATTGATAGTAAGGTCACAAGAAGAATGACATTAAATACTCTGATGTCGGTTTCCTGATGCTTAGTTGGAATATATAAGCAGTTAAATGGACACATCATACATCTGTGGCTATGAAACTGTTTCCTCATTTATATCTTCTCTATCTATAACATTAATGTTTTTTTTTTTCTAATTTTTCTAAATAATTTCCGTTCCGCTTATCTTTCTTTTGAACTCTCCTTTATTCCTTAAGTCTTACTACTGCTTTCATTACATAGAAACATTTAGCTTACTGTTAATTTTGGATAATTAGAAATGACTGTATTCTTACTGTTTCTTTCCTACTGTATTAACTATTTTTGCACTGTATCTTGTATAGTAAAATTCATACTGTAACAGATTTTTGTGTTACAATGTGCGTGGATGTGCATCCCATACCAACATCCTTGATTGTTTAAAGGTGTCTTCTTGTGGTCCTACGGATTGTGCATGGGAAACTTTCCTTTAACACCAATTTATGAAGAAATTATTCCGTGTGGAGTCTGGACTGTGAGTGTACACATTGTATATAAATAGTGTGTATACAATTTGAATCAAACTGTGTACAAAAATTATACTTAATGTACACTGTGTACACTCACAGTTCATACGGTACTTCCTATGCGGAGTCCGGACGGTCCGGACTGTGAGTGTACACTCTGTGTACAAATAATGTGTACACAATTTGAATCAAACTGTGTATAAAAATTATACTCAATGTACATAATGTGTACACTCACGGTCTAAACGGAATCTTCCCATCCGGACTCTGCACGGAATAATTTCTCCAATTTATGAGGGGTGTTCTTAACAAATGTTCTTCGGTGATATAATAGAAAATATTTGGTTGGTGATGTTCATTTGAAGGATGTGTAACTGTTCTCTTCTGACATATCATGCAATTCAAAAATTTTTTTTTTTGTCTTAAGCATACAAAACCTCTTTGTGTTCGTTCTCCCAAGTAATTTATTTCTTTTACTGGTTATTTGCTGATTCCTGTAGCTAATTCTCTCCTGTTCATGAAAATGTCTTATGGATTTATGAATCTGAAGGTCTGTTGCAGATTGAAGGATGGTGGTCCTCCTGGTCATGAAGGTCTTTGGTTGGTTGAATGTCTACGGCAGGTGATCCTCGAAACTTTAGAATGATATGTTATTCCACCAATAATGGATTTTTACTGGGCATAAATAATTGTGTACCTGTCACTTATTATGTAGCCATGATTATGACAAGACAAACCTAGAACTGGAACTGCTTTTTCATCCTGTATGAATCTTGTCGCTATTACTGTTCAATTGTGGCCCAGAAAAGTTTGTTGCTTGCCTTTCCTTCTTTTCCCCCTCATGTGCTTGCTTTTGAAACTATTAAAGCTTTATTTGAGATGACTTTATTATTGCTTCTTAAAGTTATTTTTTTGTACATATATTAAGAAAGTTGTCCCAAATAAAATCTAAATTTAGGTTTTATTTAGAATGATTTTCTTATTGCTTTTTAAAATATTTTTTTTAATATATATATATTTTTTAAATTAAAAAAATTTATACTAAATCTCTGTTTTTAAAAACAATTTTGTCATTTTTTTATACTAAAAAGTTACTTTAAAAAATATAAAAAGTTATCCCAAATACTGATATGAGGAAGATATTAGAAAAATTTATTTTGATAATACTAGAGAGGGTGTTGAAGGTAAACTTGAATTATGGAGGTCAACCTTAGAGTCTAAAGGTTTTCGCTTGAGTAGATCTAAAACGAAATATATGGAGTGTAATTTTAGTAGTAATAGACCTAGTGAGGGGATTGTGACTTTGGGCGATCAAGTCATTAATAAGAGTACACGTTTTAGATATCTTGGATCTATTGTTCAGAGTGATGGTGAAATAAATGGGGATATTATCAGCAGAATTCAAGTTGGATGGTTGAAGTGGAGGAATGCATCGGGCTTATTGTGCGATAGAAAAGTCCCCCTCAAACTTAAGTGAAAATTTATAAGATAAAGGTGAGACCTGCAATGCTTTATGGTGCCGAATGTTGGCCTTTAAAAGAGAAGCATAATACTAAGTTAAGTGTGGCAGAGATGAGGATGCTTAGGTGGATGAGTGGCTTTACACTTAGAGATAGGATACGAAATGAGCATATACGTGAAAAGGTTGGAGTAGCTCCAGTAGAAGATAAGATTAGAGAATGTCGCCTTAGATGGTTTAGTCACATAAAACGGCGGCCTTGCGATGACCCGGTTAGGAGAGTAGAGGTATTAGATTTGGCTTATGTTAAGAAAGGTAGGGGTAGACCTAAAAAGACTTGGTTAGAAAATATTAGGTATGACCTTTCTTTATTAGATTTAAACGAGAATTTGACTTTTAATATGACACAATGGAGAAAAAAGATTCATGTAGCCGACCCCACGTAGTGGGATAAAGGCTTGATGTTGTTGTTGTTGTTTGTAGAAAAAATTATTTTGAGTATTTTTTTATTTGAAAATAATACTTTTTTAATACTTAACTGTAATCTAATAATTTTAATTAGGAAAAATTTTCATCTTAAAAATTAAAAAAAAAAAGAATAGCCCAATAAAATTGCGAAAGCTGTCTGGAAATGAAGTTGTGAGATCCACATCCCAAATGTACTCTTAATCATAATGCACATCAATATCAGCACTCTATGTGGCTACCTAATTGCAGAGTTGCAAAAACTGTTGCAGCCTAAAGGTATTAGTTGCATCATGTCCCTCTCCCTCTCTTGCTTACTGCTCAGGAAAATGGAATCGTTTTAGATATGCTGGTGACATGATGATTATGATGATGATGATGAAAGACAGATGGAAGAAACAACTAGTACTCCTGCTTTAAGCTAGCTGTCGCCCTATGGTTTCATTTTGCTTTTTTTTTTTATTTTAAATATTATCCAATGATATCCGCCGAAATATCTTGTGCTGTCATCGGACGATCTGGAGGCCAATCAGAATGCGTCATGTCATTTGGTACACAACGGTCACCAGTATTGATACTGAGTAAAAAAGTAAAGTAGTGCGTTCTGATTGGCCTCTGGATGACGTTAGGTGTTTGCACAGAATAAATTTTCTTAATTGAGATGGTACTGTCAAAACTTTTACTTCTTTTTGCAGCTGTATAAACCAACTTCACAAGCTCCTCGTATGATACCTCATTCATTCATGTCAAACATATTATGATGTGATTTGTTTATTGTGATGACCTAATACTCATTGGGAGCAATAAGAAGCTTCTTCAACAATTCACTACCAAATTGGCCTAAGCATTCTCTATTAAAGACTTTGGTGAACTCTCCTATTTCCTTGGGTGTTGTAGTCATCCCCTCTAATTATATATTCATTATCTTCTAGAGTGCACCAACATGATGATAAATACTGAGGTGGTTCTTGTTCCCATGTCTTTAATTCATATGCCTCCAGTCCTTGACATTGTTTCTCTCACTAATCCCTTGAAGTATTGCTCTATTATTTGGAAACTTCAATATCTCTCTTAGCGGGAACCGATATTACATTTGCTAATCAGACATGCAGCTTATTGAATTAGTTGCGACATGAATGAGAATGCATGCTACTAAAGATAGGGTCGAGTCTGATACATCAACCTCTCTTGGTTTGTGTATCAACTAACTATCGACCACTGAATAACAATTAAATGCATTATCTGATATATGTGTACCATCATCAACCATGATCTTTTCATTCGTAGACCCTCTCATTTCATAGATTTTCATATGCCAATTGGGATGGGAATATTACCTATTGCATATCATTAAGTGTCTATGTTGTCCTCTTAGGACACAATAGAGTGAAATTGTTTATTCTCTTACCAATTGGGATGAGAATATTACCTATTGTTTATCATTAAGTGTTTATGTTGTCCTCTTAGGCCACAATAGAATGAAATTGTTGATTCTCTTACTAAGCTCATCTCTTAGCGTCCTCTTGAACAACTTAGTCCATATTTGTGTCATCACCATGGATTCCATCTTAAGGTCATATATTAAAGGAAATTATTAACCTAATATATTTTCTTTATTACTCTCTCTATAGTTGAAGATAACTACGATAGGTGTTAATGCACCTTCCTTATTTCTCACTCTAAACTAGGGGTGTAGGTGAGCGAGCCAGCTCGAGCTCAACTTGTTAATAAGCTCACGAGTTTGAGCTCGAGCCTACACTCGAGTTAGTATACACATACATATTCCTCATGTAATTATCGTACAAAGAAGAATTCTCTCTCTCTCTCTCATCACTTAATTTCTACAATATTCTCACTTAATTTTTTTTCCAGAGGGATATATAATATATATAATTTCATCTCTTATAAGTATTTATGATCATTAGTACTGTGATGCATCCTAATTTATCCATTTTTTATGAGCATCCTAATTTTTCCATTTTCTTATGAGCCCAATAATTAATTTATTATTTTATATCAACATAATCTCATAAATTCTTTTTATTAAATTAAATCCTAATTATCTTAATATCTGCATATTATTTTCCTTCCTCATTAATCATCTTTGTTATTATCCTATACTATTTTTCTCCCTTAGGAATTTGTATTTGTTTTAAATATTTAATTTGAAAAATGGTCTTCAATTCAATGTTGTTGTTGTTTAGCTCAACTTATTGTATGTCTGATAGTGTATGTCAACATCCGATCTGTCTGTTTTTTCTCTCAATTTATTTCATTTACTCTGACCTTTTCAAAGAGAATGTAGTGAGATAATTTCCACCGCAAATTATTATGGGACAAAAAGATCTATCAAACAACAAAGCTTCAAACTCCCAAAAAATGGTGGAGACAAAAATTATAAATATGATCAAAATTTAGAACATTTTACTAGACAACTTGTATTAATTCTCTCAATCATAGATCATCTCTTCAGCATTTAAATATCTTAATGATTCCAGCATTAAGTGATCTTAAGCTTGTTGAATTCGTCTCGTCAAGACAGTTGATTAGTTGATTTTATTAAGAGTATGGAAGATTTAGAGATTGCTTGGTCGTCGAATCTTTACCCACAAGTTTTTAATTATGATTCAAGTGCTCAAACATTCAAACTCAGATTGGACCACTTTTGATATTATTGGAGTATTGTTGTGAGACATTGAGATTGATTATATGTTTACTGAAATAGGAGTTAAATGGTCATATATTTAAATTTAAAAGCTTTCAATTCAAATATGCATTAAGATTCGTGCCCGATCAAGTCAATTTTCAATGAAATATCAAGTACATAAAATAACAATATATAAGCTATTCATTAAAATTTATATTATACCTATTTCAAAATAAATTTAATACTTAAAAAATTCAATTTAATCAAAATATTGATCTATTTAAAAAAAAAAGACATTTTACTTTTATAGGCAAACTTTGAAAATTACTCTTTCAAACAATGCCAACATGGTTTTAAAAAATATTAAATATTTTTTTTCATTTTCATAAATAAATATTTTAATTTATAGAAAAATTATTAATTTTCAGCTCAAAAGCCGCTTTAAATAATAATATTCATGCAATAATGATAATTAAAATATGATTATTATTTTTCTAATATGTCGGAGAGCCCAATTTCATTGAAATAGGTAAAATAAGAAATTCAGCTCACCCATGGCAGAAAGCTACTTGTTAAGCTACCTAATTAGCTCTAGGATTGTAAATGAGTCAGGCAGATTTATGAGCTGACTCGAGCTTGACTCGATAAACAGCTCATGAGCCTAGCTCGATCAGCTAACGAGCAAATACTCGCTAGCTTACGAGCCGGCTTGTTTAAAAATTTTTACTATAAAGTGCATTTTAAATATATTAGAATTTAAGAGTTCAAGAATGAAATTATTAAAAATATTTAAAAATTATATTTTTTTATCAAATTATTATTTATTATTTATCTATTAATTTGTCATCTTTTAATAATTTTATTATAATTATTATTTGAATCAAAATCATTTTTTTATTTCATAAAAATGAGCTAGTTTGTGAGCTGACTCGAATTCGTGTAATTAAGCTCGAGCTCGAGTTCAAACTCTATTAATTAATCAAGGTCAAGTTCAAATGAGTGGTGACTCAATTTTTGCTTGATTCATTTACACCCCTCACATAGAGAGATTATTACATGTTGATACTGAGCGTGTTTGGAAGCCAATCAGGAGCCATCACGTCACCAATGCGCTGTGTATTGAGTGACTGGGTGGCTCCTTATTGGCGTCTGAATGCATTCGACGACCGCACGTAATAATTTTTCCCTAACCTGAGACGCCGAATATCAGTATTATGTTCATCATGACATAACACTTTAGTTAAAATAATAAAATAATTAATTTTATTTAAAAACAAATCGAGCCATTTTATTCCAACAAATAAAAATATAAGACTT